ACATCAGTGACGTAGAACCAGATTCTGAGGTTGCGGCTATCACGGAGGGGGTAGCTGAGATAGCTGCTACTGCTTCCTTCTTCCCACCTACCCGTCCTTCCTTCAGGAGCAGGTTGGGATCCCAACCAGGTGCCTTTGCGGTTACCGAAACAGATTTCCCGGAAAGCCAGAAGAAGCTTAAACACCTCCACAAAGGAGATGACGATTCGGAGCCTAAAGAGGAGGTAGATGTGGCGAGAAGGGGCAGCAGCAAGGACAACCGCGCAGGTGCCTTCGCGGTCACAGAAACAGATTCAGAATATCCCCATGATCAAAGGAAGAGGCCACCGTATGAGGCATACGTGTTTCCAGAACCATCCAAGACAGGGATGGATGGAAAAGGACGGGACAGTTTTCGCATGAAGAAGGGCTTTGGTAGTCAATCAGCTGCAGCCGGTGGATCAGGCAGAAGATCCTACGGTGAAGAATTTTCCGGAGCCGCCGATAGCGACTTCCTGAGGGAGCAGCAGTTTGCCGCAAATCGGAAACAGTTCCAAACACAGAAGGTTGAGAGGTCAGGACAGTTGCTCGACGGCCACCGATTGTCAGCTGGTGAATCCTATGGTGAAGGTTCTTCCGAAAGCGCCGGCGCCAATATCCGCGAAGACACAGAGTTTGTGATGAATCTGAAGCAGACTGAGAGTCTCAAGACAAAAGAACTGCAACGTCCACGCTCGGCACCAAACACCTCGTCAACTCGCTACGAGTTTGTGAGTGATATGAAGGGGTACCGGACACCAGGTCCCGCGAGGAGGGCACAAAAGCCAAAGCAGGGCGTGTTTGCTCGAGGGCCGGTCAGGGGCCTTGACGAAGGGTGGATATCGGCCGACATATTGCCCCCCCCCGTTGATCCTTGGGCTGGCGAACCGTAGCTGTTGACAACAACATGAAATGTATGAAAGGGACCAATGGCCCACTGGATTTGGAGTTGGGTGGAGGTGGTCTTCAGCAAAGTTGATAAGACTGGCTGTCTACTGAGGGCCACGCCCCGCCGGTGCTATGTTCATGCTTTGGAAAGCATGAACGTGGTCGTACCGACGTCCAGATCCGTACTTCCCTAGCATGAACATAGCGCCATAGGGGCCTTTGACCCTGATTGTCTCTAGATCCAAACTGAGGCCTCAAGGAAGGGTAGACATCAACAACCATAATGTTGCTTCCTGCAACTCACCCTTGTGACCAGCCTTGACATAGTCAAGGGCCATAGCCCACTGCAATGAGAGTTGGTGAGGTGATTTTCATCCAAGTGGATAAGAGTGCCTGCCTGTTCTCTACCTTCTCCACCCGAATAGAACGCCCGGTAATTATGGCCATATCTGGACTGAAAGCTGCATCAAATACAGCTATAATGACCGGGCGTTCTATTCGGGTGAAGATGGTAGTTATCTGTAGATAAGACTGGTATCTGAAAACCTGCCCAGCCCATGTGACTGAATGCTACACACATGTAACTGTTGATGAAACAGAGGATATGTACGAGCTCAAAGTTCAAACCATGATTGGAATTAGATGGGTATTTTACAATTTTGAGAACCGAGTGACTATCCAATAAACGCGCCAGCCAAGGAAATCCAGGGTTCAGTTTTGTGACTTTGTCTTTATCACCAGCTTGGCCCTGGAAATCACTGCATGCGGGACAGAGTCGGGTGCACTACCCATTTTCCCCCGAACACACCGCACCCTCGTCATGAGTGTGTCGCACTTTTGTTTACATTCATGATCAAGGCGCGCCGTGTCTGGGGGAAGGCGATAGGGAAGCTAATCTAGGCGGACAATGAACTGACAAGAGTGATGCAGTCCTGAGAGAGGAGAACATAGAGTGGATGTGGATCGGTGCGTGTGGATGAATTGAAATCCCTGCCCATTCACCTACCGAATTTATGATGGATGACCGCAAGAGAATTTTTTTTGCCCTCACCCCTGGATTTGGTGAGGTTGCATGAGTGAAAAATCGGTTGCTTTATAGTCAAGGACATCAGTCAAGCTGTGCTAGAGAAGATTTTTATTTTTTATTTTCTTTTTTATTTATTTAATTTGGAACAGATTTGTTCAGGCAAGAAGTTGTCACCTGTGCTGGAGAAGATTTTTATTTTATTATTATTATTTTTTTGGACCATTTCTCGATTTATGTGTATCATCTTTGCACAGGGCCCATGCTAATCTTCTCACTGTATCGTTCTTGTTTTTTTTTTTTTTTTTTTTTTTTTTTTTT